CCCCAACGACTAGCGGTGTTGGGCTCGAACTCTGTACCAACGACGCCAAGTGTGCTTTTGGAGGTGGCTAAAAAGGCGGAAAGAATTTGCCTTAGTAAACGCAACCAAGTGGTCAGTGAGACAGCACTGCGTTCCTCAGTTGGTCGGAGGACTAAATGAGAGCATCGCACGAATGGGGTGGGGTGGGGCGGGGTTGGGGGTGGAGGGGGAGACGAGACGAAAGACTTGTTGTTGTCGTAGACAATGGATCGACGCTGATGGGATGTCGCACCGCCACAGCGTCCCATGTGGCGAGGGTTGAGGGAGAGCTTTACAGTTGCTTTTAACCAAATGTGCACAAAGTATTTAATAGTTGGCATATTTTCAAGTCCACCACACGCACGTACGCACACACCCACACATTTGGTTCAGTTGTGATGGGAGGAGTGTCTCGCATGCACACTGCGTCCCTGCCCCTCCTTCCCAAATCGCCACGCCCTAAGGAAGTGCACTTACCTCACCACTTCACACCAAATTTCAATTGCACAGCAATTTCTCGATGCAGAGACATCCACGCCCATTTGCCAATGCCTGTCCTACAAAGTGGACGATGCGGACCTACGTGTGGGCGTTTGACTTGTGGCGATTGCCTGAGTCACCCGACAGTCCTAGTCAGACTGAGGCACAACCACTGATTGACTTTGACCTTTGAGTGGTTAGGAGGACACTTAAAGCACATCTCCACCTCCTTCCAACCAATTGGGAGGCGGAAAATTTAATTGCCATCACCAGAGGTGCTCAACAGTTGGACATGAAGGTGCATTTTCTTCCTAAACATAACGATAACGTTTTTGTGACAAGCTCAACAGCTCAATCAAAGACACCTCTAACGAAGTTCGAGGTGACACATTTTATTCAGTGGTAGATGATTTGCATTTCTTGGTGACCACAATATGTTTGGCAACATCCACCGACCAGCAGAGGAAATCGGTTGTTAAGATAAGTTTTCGTTTTATTACTGAAGGGTAAGGACATTTCGCTGTTTACTACTGCGGTGTGCTTATCTCAGTGCCAATCTTCTCAGTTCCTCATCCAAGGTAATGGAAGAGAGTTGGCCTTCTTTTCTTCTTATTCATCTGTTAATCTGATGCTGGTGAGCTTGTAAAGGGAAGTTGGGAATAGCGTCAGTATGCGTAGTGTGGTCGAGAGGGGGATTCCGCATTTAGTGTTCCCGTCGGCCGCCCTTCTGAATCCGCGCTTCAGTGTTGAGTGAAGGACTGTGCTGGTTGACTTTAAACACAATTGCTTACTCGAGTCAACTACCCACTTAAGGTAAAATCGCACATGAGGTTGCGACTCATTGTCCCGCTTCCACACACGGTAATACAATGAGGTAGACATTTGAAAGGTGCACAAGTGGACTGCTCTTCCTTTCGGAGCAGACACGACCAGTGAGTCAGTGGGACGGAAGTCCTCGCATCACACACCTACACCACCGAACAACCCACTCTACACAGCCCGGCTGCTGGGAAACCGCACAGAGTGCAGTTTGATGAGGGGAGAGCATGAGACCACTACTTTTTTCCTCCTCCTCCTCCTCCTACTACTACTACGCCCTTTTTACCTACAGCGTGGTACAAGCGCATACGCAATTAACTCAGGGAGGTAAACAGGAAACGGCAACG